GAGCTGAAGAGCTGAGGGACAGCGCCCAGACACAGAGTTCAAGGTCCACAAATGACAGAAAGTGTTTGTGCATGTGTGTGTGTGTGTGTGTGTGTGAGAGAGAGAGAGAGAGAGAGAGAGAGAGAGAGAGAGAGAGAAGGCAGGAACCACAATTTTCCATGGAGTGCATGAAATATGGCTCATGCAACTAAAGAAAAAAATGTATGGGGCTGGGAAGGTGGCTCAGTGGTAGAGTGCTTGCCTTGAATGCATGAGGCCCTGGGTTCGATTCCTCAGCATCACATAAGAAAAAAGCCAGAAGTGGGGCTGTGGCTCAAGTGGTAGAGTGCTAGCCTTGAGCTGAAGAGCTGAGGGACAGCACCCAGGCCGAGAGTTCAGGCCCCACGACCGGACTAAAAAAAAAAAAACAAAAAAACAAAAACAAAAAAAATGTATAGCTTTATTTACATCTAGTAAACATAAAAACTGTATCAAATCCCAGGTTCTAGTAGCTCATGCCTGTATGCCTGTAATCGTAGCTACTCAGGAGACTGAGATCTGAGGATCACAGTTCAAAAAGCCTGGGGAAGGAAATGTCTATAATGTTCTTATCTCCAGTGAACCACCAGAAAACTGTCGTGCTGTGACTTAAAGTGGTAGAGTGCTAGTCTTGAGCAGAAGAGCTCAGGGACAGTGCCTAGGCATTAAGGTCAAGCCCTATGACTGGCAAAACAAAAACAAAAAACACGAACAACAAAAAAACTCACAAACAACTATAACCAAGTGTGGTGGTATGTACATGTGCCAGGGCTTAAAATCAGGGACTGGGTGTTGTTACCTACTTTTTTCATTCAAGGTTGATACACTATCACTTGAACCACAGCTCCATTTCTGGCTTTTTGGTGGTTAACTGGAGCTAAGTCTCACAGACATTCCTGCCTGGACTGGCTTCAAACCATGATCTTCAGATCTCAGCCTCCTTGGTATCTAGGACTACAGGCATGAACTGCAGCAACTGACTCTATTTTAACAGATGAAGACAATTCCTTAGTTTGAGTTAATCATGTACATCCATTTATTCATTCATACACTGACACAATGATCACCCTTATACAGGCATCTTAGTTCAACAGGTGAGAGGTTTTATTTGGTGTTGATTTAGTCAAGAGAAATTTCTAGGTGAAAGGGCTGAATATTTGATAATTCTATCATTGGTTCAATTAGAAGAGTATTGATGTGGCAGGCAAAGTTGAGATTTTAAAAATCCAACAGATGTAGAAAACAAATAATTCAGTAAAATGTCCTCTTGTAGGCTGACAAATTGCCCCTACAACTTCACTTCTCTATGTGAGTATAGTCATGTACAGGTCTTAATCATGCCTCAAATAACCCACTCCTTCAGCTTTCCATGGCTTATAATCAGACATGATCTTTCCTTCCTTTTTACCTGGAATATGACCCTTAACACATAATACCTTGCATTATATAGTATCTTGCAGACTTGTTTGCTTCCTAGTAGGAAGGGACGGTGTCTTTAATCTATCCTATATTCTACCTCAGTGTGAAGCACCATACTTGATGTTTATATAATTAGACAGAAGTCTTAAAGCAGAAAAAAGTAAAGCTCACACTCACAGGAACAAGCATGGAGCCTGCACAATAGCCAGATGGTGTTTGTGTACCATCAGTGTGACATATGCTTTTCATGGCTCACAAGGCTCTGCAGAAACTGCTACTTCTCAAACTCCATGTCTTCCTTCCAGACGTCGGTCTCATGGGACTTTTATTCTTATCTGTGTACACACTAAATCTTGTTTCCATTCTAGGCTGGCTGTCCATGGCATTCCTGCTGTGCTTTACCTGCACTGCTTTAAAACCAACAACAGCAAAAAGATTCAGCTCAAAGCCAGAAGCCAGTGGCTTATGTATGTAATCATAGCTATTAGGAAAATTAGACTTTGGGAAGGAGGATTGTAGTGGGAGGCTAGCCTAGGCAGAAAAGTTCACAAGACCCTTGTGGGAGGGGAGGCGTGCGTGTACACACGCTAGTCCTGGGACTTGAGCTTAGGGCCTGGGCACTGTTCCTGAGCTTCTTTTTGTTGTTGTTGTTGGTCACGGGGCTTGAACTTAGGGCCTGGGTGCTGTCCCTGAGTTCTTTCAGAAAAGGCTAGTGCTACCACTTTGAACCACAGCTCCACTTCCAATTTTTCTGGTGGTTAATTGGAGATAAGAGTCTCACAGGGCTGGGAAGGTGGCTCAGTGGTAGAGCGCTTGCCTTGCATGCATGAGGCCCTGGGTTCGATTCCTTAGCACCACATAAGCAGGAAAAAAAGCCGGAAGTGGCGCTGTGGCTCAAGTGGTAGCGTGCTAGCCTTGAGCTGAAGAGCTGAGCGACAGCGCCCAGGCCCAGAGTTCAGGCCCCACGACTGGACCCCACCCCCCCCCCCAAAAAAAGAGTCTCGCAGACTTTCCTGCCAGAGCTGGTTTTGAACTGTGATCCTCAAATCTCAGCCTCCTGAGTAGCTAGGATTATACATATAAACCACTGGTGTCTGGCCACCGTGGGATCTTTTTTTTTTTTTTTTTGTCAGGTGTAGGGCTTCAACTCAGGGCCTGGGCTCTGTTCCTTAGGTCTTTTTTATTCAAGGCTACAGCTTCACTTCTGGTTTTCTGGTGGTTAATTGTAGATAAAAGTCTCACAGACTTTACAGCAATCCTCAGATCTCAGCCTCCTGAGTAGTTAGAATTATAGGTGTTAGCCACCAGCACCCAGCTTCCCATTTCTTTTTATCAACATGGAAAAACCTTCCCAGGATTAATCTCCATCTGCAGTTCGGCATCTTTTCCCTATATATTGTGCCCCTGCGTTGTACTTAAAGCAGCAAAACTGGGTTGTTATTATTATTATTATTGTGAAAATACCGTACATTTCTTATCAAGCATTGTTGCTTCCTCCTTTATTTCCCCTTCCCATCCCTTCCCATCTCCCCCCCCCATCCCCCCACTCCGGCCAAAGTTGTAAAGTTCGGATTTCAACATAATGACTTGTACATCTCATTGTTGCAATGGGTCCACCTGTATCCCTATTTAAATGATTTGTTTTTTTCCCTTCCCCTCCACAAATTATACCAACATCAAATACAATGAAAGCAGAATCAACTCCAAATGGATCAAAGACCTCAGAGTCAAAGCAGACACTCTGAAAACATTACAGGATGGAATAGGAGAAACTCTAGGTCTCCTTGGCACAGGCCGAAATTTTGTTAATACAGACCCAGAAACACAACAAATCAAAGAAAGGTTGGACAAATGGGATTGCATGAAATTGCAGAGCATCTGCATGGCAAAGGACATAACTAGCAAGATCAATAGAAATCCCACGGATTGGGAGAATATCTACACTAGCCATACAATGGACAAGGGTCTCATATCTAAAATATACCTGGAACTCAAAAAAATTAAACTCCCCAACAACAAATCTGGGTTCTATTAGCAAGAAAAAGTGTGATGGCTGTTCTGGAGATCACTAAAATTACTAGCTAGCCACACAGGCATCTGGGAACAGAGGACATGAATTTGTGCTGATCTACTTGTATGCAACAATGAACACATTAGACACACACACAGTGCAAAGCCATTTGTGACGCCATACCTCTGTTTTAGAGGACATGTAGTCCCAGGCACTGTAGGACCTTCCATCTGTGCTTTATCAGGACTAATGTGCTAGCTACAGGATAAGCTTGCTGCTAAGAGACTTGGTCCTGTATGGGTTCACAGAAACCATCAAGCAGGCCCTTGTTTCCATAACAACATCTCCTGGGTAGGTATGACTGTTTGCCCTTTGAAGTTGGGAGAAGTGGAGAAAATGCCATATGGGCAGGGGTAGGAACTCTTTCAGAAGGGCTGCTCAGTTCATCAGAGTATGGGGCATTTTCAAATTCTCAACTAATGAGGTCACCAGATAGACAACTGTGAGGCTTGTGAAGCCTTTCATTTTGTACTTAGGGTTTGACAGGGTGGCTGGTAGTTACAGATTTCCAACTTTATTTCTTAAGCATGCATGTTACACACTTAGTCCCACGTTGTTTGATTTTTTGAAAAACAGTTTCTTGGAAGTTGAAGAGGATAAAGAAAGGAGTATGAAACAGAGAGGGAGAAGGTGTGGCAGGACACACATGAAAAGCTTGAAGATTGTGAAGTCCTCCAAAGACCAGGCCGTGATGGTCCCCGTGGCAGGGTACCCCATTCAGGCTCTATTACCCACCTCTACCCCCAATCTGGGCACTGGAGCCACCAGGATAAGTCACTCTCCCAGATATATTGCCTTACTAGGGTCATCCAAGAGACAAGAAAAGTGTGTGGGTGGTTGGGGGACCTTAGGCGATCTTCCTTGCCCAGAAAACCTGCTCTACCTCCATCCACAGTGTCAACTATGATCCAACCCAGCAGAACATGCAATGGGCCGCTGCTCCAGGCTGTTTCCCACCTCCTGGCTGCCTGGGCCCTGGGGGATTGCTGGGTGGAGGCCTTGAGACTTTGCCAACCCTCTGATGGGGCTCTAGAACCTCTGCACTGGGAGAGGAACCTTTGGGTAGGGCACGCCTAAAGGTCTCAGAGACATTTCATTATCACCCCCCTCCCCGCCCCCAACCCTTCCTCCCTCCCTCCCTCCACACTTGAAAAACACAGAAAGGGTGAGCACCCTCCTTTCGCCTCCCGGATGAGGCTGCACCACCAACATCAACTGCGGGCGGAGCTCGAGTGGTTGCCACTTCCCCTCCTTCTTCCCTCGTGACCCTCGCCCCCACCACCACCAGTTCGGCCTCTCCTTCCAGACACACCCTCTTTCTTAAGCTAGCGAGCCGGGCTGTCCAGAGGAGGGAGCTGCCGCAACCCGCTTGTGGGGCAAGAAGCTGCTCGAGCAAAGCCAGGAGCGTGCAAAGGAGGGGCGGGGGGCGGAGCCGCAGGCGGGGGGCGGAGCCTTGGGGGCCGCTTCGCCGCGGGGCTGCGATGTGGCCGGCCAGCCGGCGGGTAAACACCGTAAGCAGCTGCGCTCGCGGTCGCAGTCGCCCGGACCTGGGGCATTGAGTGCGTCTGTCCGTCTGTCTGATTGCCCACGGGGACCTGACCTCTGTCGTTACCATGGCCGAAGTGCGCAAATTCACCAAACGACTCAGCAAGCCCGGTACAGCCGCTGAGCTCCGGCAGAGCGTGTCGGAGGCCGTAAGGAGTTCCGTGGTGCTGGTGAGTGACCTAAGGATGGGGGGACACGCTCGGGCTGGGAGCCACGCGGTGGCTTCCCGCGCGCGGGGCCCTGAGCAGGGAGCGAGGCTAGGGCGTCCGCCCCGTGCGCTGTGAGCTCTCTTTCTTCGCTCCAGTAAGTTTTGCACTGGCGGTTCCGTACCGGGGTCCGAATCCCAGCAGCGCCCGCTGACAGCGCGTAGGAACGGGCGTGCGCCTGGCTGGAAGCTGGCGGTGGAAAGCGGGCTTCCACCCTGGGCTGGGGCAAGGGTAGAAGCTCCGGAGCTCACCTCGCGCCGCCCTGGACCTGCCACAAAGAGCTGGAAACAAAATCCCCATCCTCTCCTCCCGGCACCTGAGACGGCCGAGGCGGAAGGATGCGAAGATCCCTTGGCACATCCACACCCGCGTGCGCACACACAGATACACGGTGAATACACACACACACACACTCACACACACACAAAAAGAACCCCACCCAGAAAGCCCGGGGCGCCCAAGCTTTGGCGGGCGGTGAGAACAGAGGAAGCACAACGACTTCCTCCTGCTACTGGAGAGAAGACAGGGTGGTAATGAGTGGTGAAAAGGGGTGTTACTACCACCACGGAGCTCGGGATTTGTGAACAACGAGGTTCTGGCTCAGTATCTGACCGCGAGGTGGCTAGCTTCGGGGGCGAGGGTGTCCCTAGAGAGTCAGTCGAGAAGAGATTGGGGGAAATCAGGGCGTGCCGCTCCAAGGATGAAGGACCTGGATGCACACGGCTCGGGGCTGGAGGTGCCTACTAGGCGCCAAGGCTGGGGGATGGGATTGAAGACCGTGCTGACTCCCTGGGAGCCCTCCCAGGGCACCCTCAGCCTCCTTCTCATTGCCTGAATCGCCTGACTCTAGAGGGAACACGAGGTGCTAACGGGCTCTTGCCCCTTCTATTATTTGCAAGCGCGTATTGCCAATTATCTGGACTAGTGAACAAACCCTGAATAAGCCTTGGGACCAGTTAATTAGCGTGTCGTTTTGTTACTTGTTCAGGGTGGGGGGGGAATTTTGTTTTGTTTTTCTCTCCACTTCCTCTGTTCTTCACGGTGTCATTTGCTGTATTTTAATCCCACCATTTGAAAAGAATTTTTGTTAAGACATATTGTCCTGGGGAGAGACCTTCACAGCTATTCCTTGTAATTTTTCTGTTGATCTTGTAGAATCAGCAATAAAACCAACATTAAAGGGAGGCCACGGGCCTGATCCCAACCGTGGAAAAGTTGACATTTAGTAGGAGTGCTGGAGGAGGATCAAAGGTAAAATATGTACCTTTGAGATAAAAATCTGATCCCTAATAGCTACAACTGTGCAAAGCCAAGTGACTTTAAAGAAATCTCTTTATCACGGATGGACCCTTGAAAGTTTAATCCTGCTGTTTAGTGAAGCTAAGCCCAGACCTTTAATGTTGTTTTAATGGATTTGGCTTATTGTAGATTTCACTCTGATTTTGAACAGAGGACCTGTTGAAATTAGATAGGAGCCTTGCTTGTCATCACAGCCAGTTTAAGAGAAGGAAACCAAGCTGTGTGCATTCCATTTATACTCACCTCTCATTTTTGGTGATTAATAACAAGTGATTCAATCTGCTTAGCACACAGAACACTTTCCTAAATGGAAAGAAAGCCTTTCTTGGGCAGAAGTTGCTAGCCCTCTAGTACAATCCCATGAAGGAGTGGACAGATGACAGCCAGTGAATAAATGGAGCACAGCAAACCTCCACTGGGATTTGACCAACATTTGACCTGTCACCCCCAGCAGCAAAAAGTCAACATGCTTTCCCAGATTTTTGGGTTTAAAAAAGAATTCAAGAATGATGTCCAGCACAGGTGCAATGGCTCTTTCCTTAGCCACAGATTATGTGGTAAAGCTGGAAAAACTGTTAGTGGGAGGAGACTCTCTTCAATGTTACCAGCCAGTGGACAGTTTCCTTATCAGCCTCACTAACCTGGGACCAAGACCACTAATTTGTAACATTTCTACCAAACAATGCAGAAGCCTGCCATTTATTCATTATTCTAGTATGTGATCCGCATGGACATTTTGAGAGTGAAACCAACAGATTGGAGTAATTTAAATCTATATCTGTTGGTTCCCTGCTCTGTGCAAGACTGGCTGCTAGATGCCTTGTAATTATAAAAGGAATGAAGATAACATTTCTTCATTTGTTTTCATGTATTTTATTGGGGTTGGCCCAGTATGTGTTTGTTCATTGAACATCTTCAGTAATGCTATTTGCAAGCAGTTCAGTCAATTAGGAAATAAGGAAACAGCCATAAATGTTGTCTATCCTCTTAAATCCATCCAGAGCCAGCCCCTCTCTCTCCTGCTGTCCCCCCTTCCCCCTCCTTGATTTTCTAACACAAAGAGCTATTAACTAGAATTAGTAAAGCCATGGATGGCTGGAGAGCAAGATGACAGTGTTGCAGCTGCCACCATAACTTCTGGTTCTTCTCTGATTTAAGTCTCAAGTGTTTATGAAGGGACAGCTGAAGTAGGATTTACACTTGCTGCTGTAAACCTGAGATAGTAATATTAGAGCTTCAACATGAGTAAGGGTCATTATCACAGCAGGTCAAGCCTTCCTCCACTGTAACTCCATAGAACTTGGAAAGCCTACCAAGCTGAACAAATACACAGTATTTCCTGTTTAGGTTTTTTCTTTTTATACAATTGCACCCTTGTTGGCATGTTGGAAACATCATTCAGTTTTGCTCACTGCTCAAAAAATTCAGAAGGCCTGGACTATATATAGCATGCCATTGTGTATTCTAACCCTCATTCAGTTATTAGTACTTCCACGAATCTATTAACAACATAATGAAGCAGACAGAGGAGGAGAGACTGTTTCATTGCTGTGTGTTCCTGTAAGTTCAGCATTTTTATGAAGGGCAATTTTAACCTAGGGAAAGGGATAATTACAGAATCTCTATTGACTTCTCAAGAGGAATGGGGAGGGGCAGCATTATAACCTGAGTGTATATTTGGTCAGTAGAGAAGCATACATACAGACACACTGCACATACAGACACACTTAAAATGTACAGTGTTAATGTGTCCTGTTACACTTCAGGATATAGTTCTTTGTGCCTCAAGGGAAACAAAGGCATCTGATAAACCCACTGTATTCTGGCCCCTTCAAGTAAGTGTTTAGCTTTTGCAGCCAATAATCAGGAAAGAGTTGCTAGATATTACCATTTGTAGCCCCTTGAGGCAGGGTATAATGCATGCAGGTTTTCTAGCTGGCATTGGGGGATTTTTAGATAATGACTTTATGAAGGAGCCCTTCAGAGCTAAGGAAGGCTGAAAAGGGTCTGCAGCTAGCTGTTGACTTCTTCCACTGGCCACTCACAACTATCTTAACACAGAATGTTCATTATGCTGTCATGTAGGGAAGCACTGCAAATACAGCTGCTCTGCTCCCCTCCTCCTCCTTCCTAGGGGAATTTGTGAGAAATACTGACTATAGAACAAAATCCACAATTCCATCTATAAGGAGCGTCTACTGTGGAATAAGCCATTTGCTACTTGGGCTATCCTTCCTCTACTGTTGAGCCTCACCCCCAGCCCAACTTGGTCTTTTTTTTTTGCCAGTCCTGGGGCTTGACCTCTGGATCAGAGCTTCTTTTTTGGTCAAGGCCAGCACTAGAACCACAGCACCACTTGCAACTTTTTCTGAGTAGTTTATTGGAGACGAGTCTCATGGACTTTCCTGCCTGGGCTGGCTTCCAACCTCAATCCTCAGATCTCAGTCTCCTGAGTAGCTAGGATTACAGGTGTAAGACATCTATGCTCAGCCCAACTTGGGCTTCTTGATTAAGACTTTCCATTTGAAATGGCTTAATTTAGCATACAATGACCTGACACTGAGGAAAATTAGCCAGAGTGCTGGCACCTGAACATAAACTTTTTTTTTTTTTTTGGTCGGTTGTGCTGTTTGAATTCAGGGCCTGGACACTGTCCCTGAGCTTTTTTGCTAAAGGCTAGCACTCTTACCACTTTGAGCCACAGCTCCACTTCCAGTTTTCTGGTGATTAAGTGGAGATAAGAATCTCAAAGACTTTCCTGCCTGGGCTGACTTTCAACTGCAATCCTTAGATCTCAGCCTCCTGAGTAACTAGGATTACAGGCATGAGCCATCAGCACCCAGCAGAACATAAACTTTTGTCTCATTATTCCCATTGGCCTCTCTAGATTGGAAGGGCCCTGAATAAGCTACCCCATGAGAATCTGTTCAAGAGACCTGATGCCCTTTGCTGTGAAACCAGAAGGGCCTTCTCACTGAAGCCTCATTTACTCAGGCAGTCAAGAGTAGAATTTGTTTTCTTTTTCTTTCTTTCTTTTTTTTTTTGGGTCCGGTCGTGGGGCCTGAACTCTGGGCCTGGGTGCTGTCCCTCAGCTATTCAGCTCAAGGCTAGCGCTCTACCACTTGAGCCACAGCCCCACTTCCGGCTTTTTTCTTTTTGCTTATGTGGTGCTGAGGAATCGAACCCAGGGCCTCAGGCATGCAAGGCAAGCGCTCTACCACTGAGCCACCTTCCCAGCCCTAGAATTTGTTTTCTAACACTGAAGTATGAGAAAGCTTCCCTGGATTGAATTTTTTGTATTCTAATCAGTATGCCTTTTTAAATCCCAAATTGCTTTATTAATAAGTGCATATGTATTATGGAAAGCTCGAAAAATGCAAAGAACCAAATCACCACCTTATTACTGAGAAGGAATTCTAATATCTTAATGTATGTATTCCAAGATCCTTCCTGTTTCTCCCTCTGTGTGTGTATGCACACACAAAAGTATACTAACTAAAATATATACAGACTTTAAGTTTTAAAATCGGTTTACTTTTTGCCTGTCCTGGGGCTTGAACCCAAGGCCTGGGTGCTGTCCTTGAGCTGGCTGGCTGGCTTGCTTGCTTTATTTATTTATTTATTGCTCAAGGCTAGCACTCTTCCTCTTGAGGAGGAAAGCTCTG